AGTATGTGTATCACCTCTTTGCATTTTATATTTCGATTTACAAAGATTTAATGATGGATTGAGTTTGGGTTATGATTTTGATTTAGTTGTTTAGGTTGTTTGGTTGTGTTTGAAGTAATACAAATTGAAATGAGTGAAATTTGTTGAATATTTTCTTGCATTATGGGTAGTTGGAGGTGGTAGCACCTATTGTAGGTGGAGATGACTGAAAATGTGTTCGGGATTTGATGATCGCTTAAGCGATCTAGTGTATCACTTAGGCGATCTAGTATGTTTTATATAATGCAGCAAATTGAAGATCGCTTAAGCGATCAGGTATATGACAGAAGATCGCTTAAGCGATCTGCTATAAGTCTGGTATATGGCTACAGATTGCTTAAGCGATCAGGTATATGGTAGAAAAATGCTTAAGCGGTTAGGCTTATTTATACTAGATCGCTTAAGTGATCCAGTAAGTGATATACCAAATTGCTTAAGCGATACACCATATCACTTAAGTGACTCTGTAGATACTTTTTAAGATCTGGCAACCCTTAATATATCAGTTAATAATTCTTGTTTTCTTGCATTATAGGTACTTGGCTATTATTAGACATGTGACAAGTTATTTTGGGTGTTGAATATTTTGGTGAGTGGGTAGAGGAAGAAAGTTGATGGGTGTGGATTGGGAAGAGTAAACAAGTTAAAGCAATTGCTGTGAGTACAGAAGTTAGTTTTGATGAGTTGATTGATGAAATCATCAGAAAAGGTGGGTTGAGTTACTCATGTAGTGATATAGTTGTGAAGTATGTTTTAAGCAAAATTCCTGCAAATTTTAACTATTTCTTGGTGGATGCTGTGCCAGATTGTACCAAATATGCCTACAAAACACGAGTTGCAAACGATATATAGTATTTGGTGGCAAGTCTCCAGAGCATTTCTAATAAGATCTATCAAGCTGGATCTAGAAGACCGCTGATTAATGATTATAGTTATCTTATTTTTTATTAAAAGCTTATAATAATCCTTTCTACCATAAAAATGTCTAATTAATAAAAGCAAAATATTGAAGTGGTTCATGTGCAAGTGCACTTGTGAATAATAATATCCAGTTAAAAAAAAAAAAAAAGTTAAATCATATAAAACTGGGTTAATTTCACAATAAGCATGATTATTTGCAACATGCTGAGGATTTTTTCAGTAAGCCTGTGTGCAACTAAACTTGATCGTTTTGCATTGGAGTAAACGTTTTTTTACCACCAAAGTTTGCTTGACTGACTTTATCACCCAAAAAGTTTCAAAATACCACTTTCCCACCCAATATTTATATTTTATTAAATACCCAAAATACACTTCACTTTCTAAGCTGACATTCGACTAGTTACCAGGAGTCAGAGTAAGAATTTTTTGTAGAGTGGAGGCTGGTGGATCGAATGGTGGTGATCGATTGAATATTCATCGTCAAAATTAGTTGGAAACGCTAACTTTGCAATGACCGAAAATCAGTGAGAAATCAGGTGCCGAAGTAAGAGGGTTTTTGTATAGAGGAGATTGGAGTTCAAATGATGGTGACGGGGATAATTTTTGCCGCCGAAACTGGCTTTGAATAGTAATAGAATATTAATTTTGCGTGAAAAAGTGCTATTTTAAACTTTTTTGGGTGGAAAAGTATCAATTAGGCAAACCTTGTCATTTACTATTGTACAGAACTGTCACTTCTTTCTAAACCACTATGGTGCCCAAGGCTTTTTCTTTGAATAGAATAACTAGTTAATTATTTAATGGGACCTAGCCATGCAGGTATAAGCCTTTTTCCAAAGAATGAAGCCCAATTATCTTCTAAGGGATTAATCTACTCTTGCTGTATCGATTGATCTTTGCTTGTGATTTTGAAGGTAGAAGAAGTGTTAGAAACACCCTCTTTTACACTATCTTTCTCACTCTTTCAACTCTTATTATGACAAGCATGTAGGAGACAAATTTTTTTTTTTTTAAACGGCATGTTCCCACCCAAGGTTTGGAGAAATTGTAAATTTCCACCCCTGGTTTAAAATATCCCAAATTTCTACCCTTAAATTAACAGAAAATTGTTTAATATAATGATTAAATGGTAAAGTTATCATTTTTAATCTATTAAGGTGGGTGGTAAGGCTGAAAAAAATAAAAAACTAAAAACTGAACCAAACCTTGAAATTGGACCGAAAAACTAGTTTTTTGAATTAACCGATTCGATTTCAATTTTTGATACTGACAAAACCGATTTTTTAGTTCGGTTTAATGATTTGTTGAGAAATGTATGGTTTGTTGAGGAATGTATGAGGGTTTGATAGAGTCTCTATCATTATGGGCACTTGGAATGAACTGATGGTGAACTGGAAATTTTCCATCAAATTGAAGGGGCTAGTTTACTTATTCGATAATTGAGAGTATGTATTTTTGAATTAGAACGGTGAAAAATTGTGGTATGTGTAAAGGTAAATTGGATTATATTTAGAAATTAGAATTAGATTTACTGATTTAGAGGTAGTTTTATAAAACCGGTTTATAAACCAGTAACTGAACCAATAATTCGGTTTAGTTAATAACTGGTTCAAGAATAATCCAGTCTAGTTTCGATTTGGATTATCACTTGAACCGAAAAACCGGTTCGGTTTGAAAAGTGGGCAATCTGGTTCGGTTAACCGGATTTCCACACCCTTATCTGGCGGGGTTGGCTGGGGCAATTTCACAAACACTTGATGTGCACAGATTTGAAGTAAAATGGTAAGTCGCTGACCGTAGGAAAATCGGCCAGAAAAGACACCCAAATAGTAAAGAAATACTCCCAAACAATCAATCACTCCAAAGAGACTACCAGTTCACCCAATCAACTCCCAAAAAAAACTCCAATTTCAACCCCAACTCACAAAATCATGCAAGAAACCCTAGGAGAGGTCATCAGTGATTGGGGAGCTAACTCGATCAAGAATGTTGAGGCTTTTGAAGAAGAGAGGCTGGTGAGTCTATGAGTGGTGAGAGATTGGATTTTAGTGGTCGGTTTTGGTAAAAAATGGAGGGATGGTTTCGTGAGCAACAAATCACCCAAAATTTGGCCATTGACCATTGTTATAGTCAGCGAGGGCGGGGTAAGAGGGGTTTTGGTGTGTGAAGCACAAGAAAAAGGATGGTGGTAGTGAGGAAAGTCGCTGTCGTCAAAAAATGGCATAAAAAGCAGGTGGCAACGTTTGCTAACATGTGTTGTCTCTTGTTAAAATGCACCATTTATTAATTTGAGGGTTAAAAAGGTAATTTATTAATTTAAGGATAAGTAATTTATTAATTTAGGGATAAAAATCGCTATGGTGTCAGTTTAAGGGTGAAAATCTAAAATTAATAAAACTATGGGTGGAAACTTTAATTTTGCCAAACCTTGGGTGGGAACATGTCTTTTTACTTCTTTTTTTATTTTTTTAAGAGTGTTAAATGATTAATGGAGGAGCGACTAAAAGATTGTATTTAGCATTATCTGTTTATTTTTTGTCTTTTTGTATACGTGTGAAATGGTTGATAGGAGATATGATAATAAATTTAATCACATTTGACGGGTCCAGCAAAAATATCACATACTCATCCTTATTGAATTGACCATTTAGTTAGATTAATGATCAAAATACCCACGTTCTCAATGTTCCAATCCAAACTACATCTTATTTAAGCTAACGGACATTGGCGATAATTATTTATTAATTTCTATTGTAGATTAAAAAGTTAGACCCCTTCATAATTTGAAAAAATTAGAGTTCTTTGATTTAATGTAGATATTTTTCATTTTGTATTATGTGTTAAAATATTGAATGAAAATGATGTCTATTAGTAAATATTATTATTCTTTCTTGTAAAAATGTTCGAAAAATAGTAAATTTGGTTATGGATAAGATTTTGAACCCAAATAAATGTTTCATTATGATGATATAGAGAATGAATTCTCCAAAACTCCTCAAACCTCTAAAACCGGGGTTGCAGGGTTCTGGATAGAGATGACAATGGGCCCGATATTTCTAGGTACTCAGCTCGGCCCGTCCCGAAAAGGTTAGGCTTTACCCGATGTTCGTGGGCTTGGACCTAGGCTTGATTTTAAGACCCGACCTCAGGTACGAGCCGGGCTTAGGTATGTCTTCAGGGTTGGCCCGGCTCGGCCCGACCCGACAATTTTAGTATTAATTATACTAAATTACCCTTATATTATATATTTAATTACAAGATTATCCTACATATATATATATATATACTCTTTTTCCCAAACCCTACATGGATGGATGGATGGATGGATGCACTTTGTAGAAAGTTAGTTATATATTTGGTGAGTATTCAAAAATAAATTAATATTTAAAAATTGTTCCTAAAATTAAAAATATAAAAAAAATTGAAATTTATTAATATTTAAAAATTCACATTATAAAAATAGGTTGTCATACCCGTGACGGGCTTGGGCCTAGGCTAAGGGATACCCAGTCCCGGCCCGACCTGACCCATTGCCATCACTAGTTTTGGAGTTAGAGGAATCTTGGAAATCCAAATCTCTCAACCCAATTATGGGGATTTCCAACCCAAGGGATCTTAAAATCATATACCTTGATCAAGTTAGAGGGATCTGAAGAAAAGTCACCACAGCCCTTGACCATTTTCGGGAACTTTTACATTGTTTGTTGTAGTCATAGATGAATATTTTTGTCATATTGATTACTTATTTATGTAAAATGACAGACACCGGATGACAGTGAGAGCACTTATATTGATGTGGAAAACATAAGTTTATAAAACAAAACCGTAGAATATTATGTTGAGCCATAAGGCCAGTTTCCCACTTTCTCTTTTGAAAGAAACATATGGTTTCCCTCATTTTCTTTCTTGAAATGACATCAGATCATCAATATGAGGTGGAGCCTTGTTTTGTTATTTCAATCTAGCACAGGAATTAAGAATCACAAGATGATTTCTTTTGGAAAAGCTAAGTTTTGTCAAGTTCCTCAAAAAAAATTCCATGTAAATTTCTTTAACAAAGTTTCGTACAATTATTTATTCAAAAATGCTTGAGTAAACTTAATTTGCAATTTTTCTCAAGAAATAATATTGAATCCGGTACATCGCTTTGTCATTAGCTCTCTCTTGTAAACTTCTTCTGTATATCTCATAATCTCATTACTCGTCCTGGAAACTCTCTGTATTTTCTATAAATTGCTTTGAGTGCTTTAACAGTTTGGAAGATCGCTTGGAGGTGGTAGAAGTGACTGATCTGGGTCTTTGCCGTTGTCAACCAAGAATGCCATCTTCAGTCCCCATGTTGTATGCACTTCCAAGTGACAGTGCATGAACCAAACTCCTGCATATATAAAATTCAAAGCAATTAACATTTATAAAGTTATTGGCAACTGCGGTGGCATTTTGTGGAGGAGGCTTCGTGAGAGTTGTGGGTGTGCTAGCAAGCGTGCCTGAATAGTGCAATGTGGCAGTTGCCGTCACGTTGTCGACTGCAATTGGAGCGTCCATGAAAGAAGAGACTGCAACAAGGTACTTTCCAGCTTTTTGGTCAGCAGTAACTAGGACATTAGTGGTTTGGCCTGGGGCAATTACAACAGTGTCGGTTTTGAATGGTTTTACGTAAGTTGCATCAACTTCCACCACAGTGAGTTTGTGCCCTGCTATCTTGAAGAAAAGCTCTTCATTGAGTGCAGCATTGATCAAGCGAAGAAGGTAGGTTTTGCCGTTTTCCACAGGCAATGTATAGCCCCCTGCACATGACAGAAAAGGAGTTCGGAATATTATAAAGTTACCTGCCTAATGACTGTTACCAAACAAAAGTTGATTCACATAATTTCTACCCTGTGAAGAACAACTAGATACGGGCCCTGGCTGGCCGTTTATTGTGTGAGCATCAGAGACATTAGGTGCCAATCCGGATTTGAGAGCTTGATTGATAACGGTTTCAGTGTCTGATTTCCACCACTCAGCAACTAAAATAACCTTTTCCTTGTGGGGTTGTGGGAAGGGATATGGAACTCCACGCTTAGGCAAGATAACAATGGCACCATGGACAGTGGACCTCAGCCAGAGAATATATGCATGCCAGAGAAGCGTGCCTCGTTGGCCTGTAATTGTGAAATTGTATATGTAGGTATGCCCAGGCTGAATTGGACACTGTGTGATATATGCTGGTCCATCAGCCCAGCCGGTTCTCAGTTGTCGGATACCATGCCTGGAAAATTAAGTGTAATCAAATAAATCAACATTACATTTAATTATGTTAAAGATTGAATGAATCATCTTTAGAATTCTCACCAGTGGATAGAAACATTATATTTGACATGGTTGACGACCTTGACGAGCACAGTATCATCTTCCCTGGCATAAAGAGTGGGTCCTGGGAACCTCCCATTAACAGTGACAATGGGCTTTGTCGAACATAGTTTGGTTGAGTTTTTCATCACTACCTGTATAAGTCACCCAAAAGGACACCAAACATCTGTTTTATCAACTAATAAATTGGATGCACAAGTTTCTAATAAGCGACACATATTGATATTCAGTCTTGGTTTAATTTAGTAGCAGAATGAAAGTATGAAGCAATTAATGTACTTACATTGAACTTGTAGTGGCGAACTCTGCATTCAACCAGAGCTGGAAAAATGCATGCTACAAGAAGCAGAAGTTGAACCCAGGAGCCCATTTCGTTCTCTCTTTTTAAATCTCTCTTCCTATAGTATTAATTCTTGCTTTCAGGTCAGTTGCATTCATCTATGACGGGATAGTGCAAATTTATATGGGGGGAATAAGGGAATAGCTGATTGCTGCCATGTCTTTTTTTGTTGGTTAGGTGTATGGACATATTCTTTGAAAGCAAGAGACTTCATAAGAGATTTGGTTTGTTGGAATTTATGGTACCCTACCCTCTAGATAAATGTTAATATTAATGTTAGAACCATTTATTTAGACAGTTTTTCCTTTTAAAAAATATGCTTACACATGTTAAAGTTAATAATTTAACTATGAGAACTACAGTTGCTTGTCTTTGCATGGCACTCTACGATTCCCCACCACCAGGCACTAGAAGGCCTTGGTCCCTTATATGACTGTTCAAAATCTTACCAATTGGTATTGTACTAGAATCAACAATTAATTTTTTTTTTTTTTTTTTTTTTTTTTTTATGATTGATGGTGTCTGGGTCAGTTTGCGTGTAACTTAATTAATCTTCCGAGGTCCTGGAGTAAACGGTTGGATAGATCCTTTCAGTGACCACCCCTATTAATACTCGAAAGAACTCAAACTCAGAACCCATATGTTGTACTCCTTTGCTCTTTTATCATCAGGCCACAAATGGTGGTTCTAGAATCAACATTATTACCGTTAATTGTGCTAAAACAGGAGTGGGAAAAATTCCAAGAATTGATCTTCCGTTTGGTATACATTTTGACTTGGTAGTTAATCCATCCATTTGACACTAGATGCAACGGTTCACGACATCATCCAGAGACATGTTAAAGCAACACTTAATAAATAATTTTGCTTAAGAGGAAATTGAAAATTTATAGTTACAGGAATTTTAAATCTTTTTTGATAAACCAAAGGGGTGGCATTTTTTTTTTTTAAATTTCTTGGTGAATTCTGGCAGATTATACCTAAATATGCTTACAAAACAATACAAGAGTTGCAAAAGATATCAATTTGGTAGCATGTCTAAAAGGGATTTCCAATAACAACTTTCAAGCTGGATCTAGATTCTCCCTTATGGTTATCTCATCTTTAATTTAAATAATTAAAAATCCTAATATTAACATTGGACCTTAAAAAGATGGAGCCATGGACGCATCATCTAAGAGACTATGTTGATTGTGTGACAAATTTAGTTTAAAATATAAAGAATAAATTTAATAAGTCTAAACATATCTAATTATCTATGCACTAAAAATAGAATTCAATTGAACAATAATGTTTGTCATGTTGTTTTAGAGAACATGTGAAATTTTTATGTAATGAATTTCCATTTGATTTGATTTTATATATATGATTTTATTTTTTGTGTACTAATATCATATGAAACTCAAGCATAATATGCACTCAAGAGAATTTAATTCCACCCTTGTTACCCGTCAACAAAAACTACAATTCTCACCTATAATTAACACATATTAAATAGATCATTTCAATGTTTAAACCATTGTTTTAAAACCCAGTCCGGCCTGGTCGGTTCAACTAGTCGGACTAGGACTCGGGGCCTTCTCTGGGTGGGGTCACCTGTGTCAATAGTTTAAAACCCCAAATTCACGATGCAGAAAACCTTAGAGAGGAGGGCGGCGATCGGCGAGCAGACGGTGGTGAGGATGTTAGGGGTTTTGAAGAAGAAGTGTTGATGAGTCAAAAGGTGGCAACAGAGGTGATTTCCAGTGAGTGAAACAACCAAAAAAGGCAAAAGTTGCATGCCCATAATAGCGGGCTATTGTCGGCGATTGGCGGGGCGAACAGAGGGTGAGATGGGTTTTGGTAAGGCGATTGTCGACACTGGAAACATGCCTATTTGGCCTAGGTTAATAGTTGCGTGTGGTGATTTTTTTTTTTTTTTTTTTTTTTTTTTTTATGAAAAATGGTTCGATTGGCCAGATCTATGGTAGATTTGCTAAGGAATGACTCAAACGGAATGAGTCAAAGGATGAGTGTGATTTGCATTTGGTGTGTAGCCACTGCCAACCAGTCGACAATCGATTTGCATTTGACAAGATAACAGGGGTGTGTTTGCGGGATTTTAAACCTCTAGACATGCTAACATCACCGGTTCGACCGTATCAGTTGACCCGGGACTCGGCCATTTTGCTAGGTTTCACCCTAGGTCGGTTATTAAAACATTGGTTCAAACATATATACAATATATTTTAAAATAAAAAAATTATACTTAAAAATCCAACAAAAAGGCTATGGAACAAATATAGTAAACTTGACATAATCTCTAATACGAAGAAAGGGATATTTTTAGTTATGCCATAAATTCGTAAATGTGGTATATAAAGGACAAGTCGACAAGAGGAATGAAAGGTGAATGTAAAGCAAGTCGTTTAAGATGTGAAGCTTAAACGACATCTCGTTTTGTATTCTGCAAATTAATTGTTATAATAACCTCTAAAATCTTTTAGGATGCATTTAGAAAATCAAAATAGGCGGACATGGCTGGTTGCTCAGAAAATGTTGATTATTGGCATCTATATATCCAAAAGATTAATTAGCCAAAATTACTCTAATGCCCACAACCTTCAGATGATTTGAAGTGATTATAAACAACATATTAAAGCTATTCAAAATTTTATGGGTTGGTGCCTTGGATGGTGTTTGGGAAAGTGTTTGGGAAAGTGTTTGGGGAGTTGTTTATGTGGAAGCTTGGATAATAGCTTGGGTGGGGGCTAAGGGTGCAAGGGTAACAGTTTTCTTGTTGAGCTTGAATGAGTATGTATTCTTGCGGCCATCATGGATCACTTCTCTATCATATTACCATGGTCTTCCAAGTAAAAGATTGCAAGCATCCATGGGAATGATGTCACAAAGTACGTCATCCGAATAGCTCTTCCCAATGGAGAATGGTACCACTACTTGCTTGACTACTTGTATGGTGTCTCCATTGCTCAACCATTGTAGCTCATTGTATGTACAGAATCAACATTCATTTTTTTTTTGGAATTAAGGCTACGAAGAGAATCGATAAAGTTATTGGCAACTGCGGTGGCATTTTGTGGAGGAGGCTTCGTGAGAGTTGTGGGTTTGCTAGCAAGCGTGCCTGAATAGTGCAATGTGGCAGTTGCCGTCACGTTGTCGACTGCAATTGGAGCGTCCATGAAAGAAGAGACTGCAACAAGGTACTTTCCAGCTTTTTGGTCAGCAGTAACTAAGACATTAGTGGTTTGGCCTGGGGCAATTACAACAGTGTCGGTTTTGAATGGTTTTACGTAAGTTGCATCAACTTCCACCACAGTGCGTTTGTGCCCTGCTATCTTGAAGAAAAGCTCTTCATTGAGTGCAGCATTGATCAAGCGAAGAAGGTAGGTTTTGCCGTTTTCCACAGGCAATGTATAGCCCCCTGCACATGACAGAAAAGGAGTTCGGAATATTATAAAGTTACCTTCCTAATGACTGTTACCAAACAAAAGTTGATTCACATAATTTCTACCCTGTGAAGAACAACTAGATACGGGCCCTGGCTGGCCGTTTATTGTGTGAGCATCAGAGACATTAGGTGCCAATCCGGATTTGAGAGCTTGATTGATAACGGTTTCAGTGTCTGATTTCCACCACTTAGCAACTAAAATAACCTTTTCCTTGTGGGGTTGTGGGAAGGGATATGGAACTCCACGCTTAGGCAAGATAACAATGGCACCATGGACAGTGGACCTCAGCCAGAGAATATATGCATGCCAGAGAAGCGTGCCTCGTTGGCCTGTAATTGTGAAATTGTATATGTAGGTATGCCCAGGCTGAATTGGACACTGTGTGATATATGCTGGTCCATCAGCCCAGCCGGTTCTCAGTTGTCGGATACCATGCCTGGAAAATTAAGTGTAATCAAATAAATCAATATTACATTTAATTATGTTAAAGATTGAATGAATCATCTTAAGAATTCTCACCAGTGGATAGAAACATTATATTTGACATGGTTGACGACCTTGACGAGCACAGTATCATCTTCCCTGGCATAAAGAGTTGGTCCTGGGAAACTCCCATTAACAGTGACAATGGGCTTTGTCGAACATAGTTTGGTTGAGTTTTTCATCACTACCTGTATAAGTCACCCAAAAGGACACCAAACATCTGTTTTATCAACTAATAAATTGGATGCACAAGTTTCTAATAAGCGACACATATTGATATTCAGTCTTGGTTTAATTTAGTAGCAGAATGAAAGTATGAAGCAATTAATGTACTTACATTGAACTTGTAGTGGCGAACTCTGCATTCAACCAGAGCTGGAAAAATGCATGCTACAAGAAGCAGAAGTTGAACCCAGGAGCCCATTTCGTTCTCTCTTTTTAAATCTCTCTTCCTATAGTATTAATTCTTGCTTTCAGGTCAGTTGCATTCATCTATGACGGGATAGTGCAAATTTATATGGGGGGAATAAGGGAATAGCTGATTGCTGCCATGTCTTTTTTTGTTGGTTAGGTGTATGGACATATTCTTTGAAAACAAGAGACTTCATAAGAGATTTGGTTTGTTGGAATTTATGGTACCCTGCCCTCTAGATAAATGTTAATATTAATGTTAGAACCATTTATTTAGACAGCTTTTCCTTTTAAAAAATATGCTTACACATGTTAAAGTTAATAATTTAACTATGAGAACTACAGTTGCTTGTCTTTGCATGGCACTCTACGATTCCCCACCACCAGGCACCAGAAGGCCTTGGTCCCTTATATGACTGTTCAAAATCTTACCAATTGGTATTGTACTAGAATCACAATTAATTTTTTTTTTTTTTTTTTTTTTTTTTTTTTTTTTTTTTTATGATTGATGGTGTCTGGGTCAGTTTGCGTGTAACTTAATTAATCTTCCGAGGTCCTGGAGTAAACGGTTGGATAGATCCTTTCAGTGACCACCCCTATTAATACTCAAAGAACTCAAACTCAGAACCCTTGTTGTACTCCTTTGCTCTTTTATCATCAGGCCACAAATGGTGGTTCTAGAATCAACATTATTACCGTTAATTGTGCTAAACAGGAGTGGGAAAAAT